TAGATAGATAGATAGATAGATAGATAGATAGATAGATAGATAGATAGGAGTGTAAAACCTATTACTATGGGATTAGAGTTTTTTTCTAACAGTATTTCCTTTATTGCATATTTGTTTTTATAACTCCAAAACTTCAGATTTGTCTATTCCTTAGAATGTCATCTGTAATCAAATCAGAATATGTATTCTTTTCATCTTTAACCAAAATGTCTTGTAAATTTTTGTCAATTACAGAAGTCAAAACAAATAAAGACACAAGTGTGTATGAAAACTTTTATTTTGCCAATTTTTAACGATCAGATAAATGCAAGACATATTAAATTTGAGTTGTTTAAGTCTTGAGGATATCAGATAAACTTTCTATTGTGTTCTGAAAGTTGTGGAGCAAGTGAATGTGTGAGGAGCATCTCACCATGCCAAACAGAAGAGCCAGTGTCTCGTAGTCAATCCACTCCATCACTGTAACCAGGCTGGGTCTCTGTGAGAGAAACAAAAAAGAATTGGGCGTTTTTCTAACTAAAAGAACTGATATTTATTAAATTGGTTTTATTCATTTAAAGGTTTAAAAGTAGCATTCCTTAAAGGAATCAATACTGTACCATCCTGAATGTCAAAGTTTTACATCAAATCTTATGTGATCTGTTAGTGCACAGATTATCATGTATCATGCTGCTAAGTGGACCATGTTGCAAATATAACCTCACATTCATCAGAACCACCCTGCCAAAAGAACCATGCTGCTGTAGATTTATTTCTTTTTCACTTTTGGCGCCTTGTTTTTGTATTTTTGCTGAATGCTTTGGTATTTGTTGTTGTTGTTTTATTGATGAGTAGAGACAATTATTCTTGTCCTGAGCATTGCACCATTGACCTTGTGTTCATTTTGCATATAACAAATAAACCAAATGGGAAACCTGAAACCTGATTATGTGTTTGGAATGACTTTTGGCTACTACCACACCAAATTTTAGCTCATTATCTCTGAGAGCATCTAAGTATTCTAAGTTTAATTAAATCTGTCCACTGGTTTATGCAATATCCTGCTAACAAACACTCATCACACAGCAGTATGAGAAGCAGTAAATAGAGATTTGGCAAAATGTTGGCAAAATGTCTGCCTAGTTTCATAAATGCAACCCTCATAGGACCACTACACAAAAAAACGTCCCTGTTCCCAGATTATGATTTTGGGTGTATACTTTAGGAAGTTATGAGCACAACTCATAGATGAGCATCTGGGAAATTTTTACACAAGGTTGTGTGTAATGAGCATTCACATGATCTCTTAAAAGTTCTTTACTCTAAACTAATCTTAGATTAATAATCAATGACTCAATTACATCAAATGTTCACCTCTAATAAAGGACTTATTATTTAGTAAACTGAGTCTTTATGAGGTGCAAACATTTTTTGTAGTTATTCAGAAATTTTGTTTTTATACCATATCATACCATACCATACCATTTTATTTATAGAGCACTTAAAACAGCGACAAGGCCAACCAAAGTGCTGTACAAACAGAACAACAGGTAACACACAAAGCAAAATACAAAATGAAGTAAATAAGAAATACAGACATAAAAACGATGCAGATAATGATGACTAACCAGTGTGGAGCATACAGGTTCAAAACATAGATCATCTGGTGTTGAAAGTTACTGAATAGTAGTGGGTTTTTAAATGGGACTTGAAAACCGAGAGGGAGGGGGCCTGTCTGACAAGCAGAGGTAACTCGTTCCAAAGTCTTGGTCCTGCTACAGAGAAGGCCCTGTCCCCTCTGCGCTTAAAACACGTTCCTGGAACTGTGAGGAGCAACTGGTCCGCTGACGTCAGGGAATGTGGTGGGACATACGGTTGTAGCAGATCAGAGAAATAGGGGGTGCAAAACTGTTCAGCGATTTGTAGACATATTGAAGTATTTTGAAATGGATTAGAAAGTGAACCGGTAACCAGTGCAGTGAGGCCAAAACTGGTGTAATGTGCTCTCTTTTGCCTGTACTGGTTAAAAATCGGGCTGCTGCATTCTGGCCAAGTTGTAGTGGTGCAGTGGAGGTCTGACTGATACCAAACAGGAGTGAATTGCAGTAATCAAGCCTAGATGTAATGAATGCATGTATTACTGTCTCCAGGTTCTTTTTGGACAATATGGGCTTCAGTTTAGACAGCCGCCTCAGTTGGAAGAAACATGATTTAACAATCATGTTTCTGTGACTTAAGTTTTAGGGAAGGGTTCATTATCATTCCCAGATTAGTGACTCTTTGTTTTTCTGACAGAGTTAGAGTGGAGAGGTCGATGCAGTGGTTTGTGATCGTGTCGTTGGGAGGGAACAACATGACTTCAGACTTCTTTTCATTGAAACTTAAGAAGTTTAAAGCCATCCAGTCCCTGATGTCAGCCAGGCAGTCGAGCAGAGGTTGAATAGAGCATGTGCCATTGTGTATTAGGGGGAAGTAAATTTGACAGTCACTGGCGTAGAAGTGGAAGGGCATGTTGTGTTTCTGGAAAATAGCACCAAGTGGCAGCAGGTATAAAGGGAATAGGAGGGGACCCAGGATGGACCCCTGCAGAACACCCCATTGAGCTGCTGACCCTGTGACGCCCACCCACTGCTCCAACCTAGCAATGAGGATCTCATGGTCGATGGTGTCAAAGGCAGCTGTGAGGTCCAACAGGACTAGCAGTACAGAATCACCAGTATCTGTGGATCTGAAGATGTCGTTAAAGACTTTCAGCAGGGCAGTTTCAGTGCTGTGGAGAGGTTTAAGCCAGATTTGAATAGCTCTAAGATGGTGTGATCCTCCAGGAAGCATTTCAACTGGGACTCAACTATTTTCTCCAGTATTTTAGAAACAAATGGGAGTTTGGAGACAGGCTGGTAGTTGGATACGACTGAGGGGTCAAGGTTTGGTTTTGTCAGGAGAGGCTGGACAGCAGCATGTTTAAAGGATTTAGGCACCATGCCAGTGGATAAACTACTGTTTACTATAGCCAGAATGAACGGACCTAGAGTAGGAAAAAACTCCTTTAGTAGTCTAGGGGGGACCACATCAAAGGGGGAGCCAGAAGATTTCAAGATGCACATGACCTGCTCTAGACAAGATAGAGTGATGGGTTCAAAATGGTCAAATAGAGCTACAGCTTGAGGTGGGATGGATGGGTCATGAGTTGGAGGGGAAATGAGAGCCCGAGAACAGTGTATAAGTACCTTGTAAACAGCATTACATGAAGAAACCGAGCAAAGCAGCTGTCTTTGCCATATAACTATATATATTGCTACTCTACGATGAAAGCAGACGTGTTTCCCCCCCACCCGCTTCCCTGCTGAGCTTTTTTGTCCAGTGAACCCTTAAAAAAGCCTCTTTTTTTCTGCATACCTCTTAATTGGAAGGGTCAGTTGGTCTCTCAACAAAATCGATCAACTTCTCCCGACAGGAGTCAGGGTAAGGAGGACCCCTCTGACCTATTTAAGGAACAAATTGGATTCATGATGACAACTAGATTCTACTGTTTGGGTTGGTGGAATCTGGTTGTCAACAAATTTGTGTGGAGGTGTTGAAGCTTGACAGTGCTCGGATTGAATGTGGAGCTGTGACAGGGAATTGGAGCAGCTGTTATCAGGACTGTGATCTTCCTGGCAGCACTCATGAATGGTGGAATAATCTGGAGAAGCTGTGAGCTTGACTTTTGGAGTAAAGGATCAATTTGGCTGTTTTGGATTTTCTATCAGAGAATATGTACCAGCGAGACTTTAAAGGCAGAAGCAACAATTACGAGTTCTGTCTAACCCAAACTGTGGCCTTGATGCCAGACTTATCTCAACTCCTCCTGGAATGTTTTGAAAACAACAAAGATGCTTTGACAGTTTCCTCACCCCTCCCTTCCCCAAGGCCGTGGACATGTAACAGAACCTCAACTGAGCTGAAGATGAACGTCACCTCTTATCTGGACAATGGCTAAGGGGGGGCTCTGGACTATGCTACGACTTTCTCTTAAAAATTCAATGTTTTCACCACCTATACTGTATGTTCATGTATAACGTCTGTTTATGTTGCTTTGCTGTGGTAGGTTTTTTTGATGCCTCAAATTGTGCCCTGTCTAGGACACGGTGTGAGAGATCTTTTTTTATACTGTCTCTCCTCATGTTTTTCTTTCCTTTTCTTATCTAAAAAAAAATATTATTCTAAATAAGAAGGCCGCGCTAATTATTTTAGCCGCAGCTTTGTGCACTCCGCCCATCTTCGGACGACTGTACGTACATATTCGCGTTGTATCTCGGTGCAATGCCAATAAAGTTTATTCTGATTCTGATAAGAAAACGGACTGTAAAAAAGATCGTGTGTCAGTGACTTGTGAGCCAAGAAGCAGAGCAGTAACAACTTGATGCCTTAAAAGGGCACAATGACAACTACAACCAATCACCAACTAGATCAAACTTGTAAGGGTAAAAATGGGTTTGACCAGCAAACCCAAAAGTCAATAAAAACCAAGCTCAGTAGTGAAACAGGGCTGAACAAACTGTGGTAGTCTAAAGAGGAGGACGATGTGGCAGCATCCTCAAGAGCTACACAGAGGAACTTGGAACAGCTCATAAGATGATTTTTATTTATCAAGATAGGAATACCTTTTGTTCAGTCTGGCTGACGCCAGACCAAATTCCTCAGGATCAGGACGGCTTTTGGGGTTAAGGGAGATTTCTTCAAGAGCTCTGGAAGAGAGATTATCGTGCCATTTTCCAAAAGTCTTCGGGCAAAAATGGTGAGCGACTCCTACCCATTGTCCAAATACTAAATTTTATATGAAATACCAGTGTTTCTAAATTAAGAGGTAGAGTCAGGGCGAGAGAGAGTTTTTCTGCTTCCAGCATTCTTGAAAAGTCACTGCATAAACTGTGTGTTGTCAAGCTGGTTTGTAACAGGTTTGGCTAAACTTGGTTGGTTGGTTTGTGAGACAGACTTAGAGGTTTGAGGGGTTTTAACCTGCCTTGGGGCTCCAAGTGCATAACAGTCCACCATGAAGGAACAGGCTGCTCTATAAAAACAATTCAAGAGTTAGGAGACAGGACTCTTCAACCTGGCTCATCGGAATTAGGGGAGCCACGCCTTGTGGACACCCTAGGATCCTGAATGTCACATAAACCAAAAAGACAGTCCCTAGAACCAGGCATGAACTCTCAGTCATTTGATTTATTTTAAATGATCAAATGTAATCAATTATAATGTGCTGATAACGCTGTACCCCTGCAAATCCTTGATTAAAGCAAAGCATAAAATGTAAAATTCTGGACTATCATTTCTACACTTCGTGTTCAAAAAGTTGGAAGAGTTTGGTTCAATTTCATCAGATAAAGGAGGTTTTTAAAAGTTTTGCAGCTTGGATTAAACAACACCCTGGAATCTTGTGCCTAGATTCTAAAAACTACCAGATCTGTAACAATTGCAGTTCTACAATAGGAGGTGAGTGGCCTAAAAATGCCAGGT